GATAGATAGATAGATAGATAGATAGATAGATAGATAGATAGATAGATGGATAGATACTTTATTGATTTCAAAGGAAATTATATATATTACTATATATACATATATATATTTATTTGTCGTTCCTAGAGTTTCCAAAAGTAGAATGGGAGGCAGATCTTTATATCGGGCTCCTCTCTTGTGGAACCAACTTCATTTCTGTCTGTGAGGCTGACACATGGTCTACCTTAAGATTAGGCTCGTCTTTTCTTTTTGATAAATCCTATAGCTAGTGTATTTTTGGGTTTCCTGAGCTATCCTATAGTCATGCTGCTATAGGTTTGGACTGCTGGAGGACAAACTGACCACATTTCCTCACTCTGCTGCTGTCTTTACTTGCTCTACTCTCCATGTTTGTGTTTGTAATTATTTCTATCTTAATGTGTGTTTTTGTCTTTCTTCCTACAGAAACTACACCTGGACCTGTCATTCTGTGTTTGTCTGTTTCTCCTTCCTGTCCTCTCAAACCCCAGCCGGCCGAAGCAGATGGCAACTCATCCTGAGCCTGGTTCTGCTGGAGGTTTCTTCCTGTTAAAAGGGAGATTTTCCTTTCCACTGTCTCCTTTGCGCTTGCTCAGGATGGGAAACTGTGACCAAGTGAAGATCCAACACAACCTGCTGCTTCCTTAGATAAAGAACTAATCACCTTAAACTCATGTCAGAGTTTTAAGGTTCAGAACAACTGACTGTGTCTCTGAGAGAACAATAAGGTGTTTCAGTAAGGTAACTAAACATTTTAAATATTTCAGTGGTCGTTAATGTACAGAAGAATCCACGGTTTAATGTTGCGTGCATGACAGGATGAGCTTTAGGCTTCAGAGCATTTTATTCACTCGTCTGGAGGATTTATGAGATTCTGCTCAGACTCTTGTTTCTGGAACGTTCAGGTTTCTGCTGGTTTGTGGGGATCGTTGCCTCACTCCCGCTCCCCTCAACATAAACGCATTCTCAGACATGGTGACGGTCGTTAAACCAACAGCTCCGGGCCCTGTTGGTACAGAGAGGGTTAGCTGTAAGCCGGTGTGGGAAACACCCGTGTCTGATGCAGTCTGTGTGACCCCCAGGGTCCCCCCCCCCTCCTGGTCAGTCTGCTCCACTGCAGCTTCATGTCAGACTAAACACTCGTTGCTTAGATGCTCTACAAAGAATTATTTTGCTTCCATTCCAAAAACTATATTTTCCGATTAAACAAAAACTTATTTTTGATACGAGTTTTTCTGCTGGTCTTCACTCTCCTCTCAGGTGTTGCTCTAACTTGTCTTGGTTTGTCAAACTCGACTGACTGGTTCCTGCATCTGAAACGCTTGATTTCTTCTAGCCGTTCCAGTTTTTCAGGGCAGTGAGGTCTGACACACGCCACGGTCCAGATTTGACTCTTTTGTGTTTGAGGACTCTGTGATGCGTGATATTTGACCTTTGATATCGAAGCTCAAAGCTCTGGTTTGATGATCAGATCAGGAGCTCCTTAAATCAATCAGAGGCGTGATGATTTAATTAACTTCTCCAATCATCTCTGTTGTTTTGGCTGCTGCAGATTGATTTTTGTGTCTGTCTCATTAGCTTCCATCCGTCTGAGCCCACTCAACCAGTTTCACAAATATTAAGCTAAACTTTAGTGTGCTAGTAGCTGACACTAAACAAACACACCGAGTGCTAGCTGGTTGTGCAAGAGCTGTTTAGTGTCAGACGACACACATTCCTTCAAAGAGTGATCTTTTCATTGAAAGACTTAGACGTAAAGATCTGATCAGAACACATCTGTGTCTTTTGTCTCCAGTAACAACTGAAATGTAAACATCTGTGGTGTTACAGGCTGACATGAGAAACTGACGGGGTTTGGACATGTCCAGAGGAGGGAGAGTGGTTTGGACATGTCCAGAGGAGGGAGAGTGGTTTGGACATGTCCAGAAGAGGGACAGTGATTTGGACATGACCAGAGGAGGGATAGTAGTTTGGACATGTCCAGCGGAAGGACAGTGGTTTGGACATGTCCAGAGGAGGGACAGTGGTTTGGACATGTCCAGAGGAGGGACAGTGGTTTGGACATGTCCAGAGGAGGGAGAGTGGTTTGAACATGTCCAGAGGATGGACAGTGATTTGGACATATCCAGAAGAGGGAAGGTGATTTTGACATGTCCAGAGGAGGGAGAGTGGTTTGGACATGTCCAGCGGAAGGACAGTGGTTTGGACATGTCCAGAGGAGGGACAGTGGTTTGGACATGTCCAGAGGAGGGACAGTGGTTTGAACATGTCCAGAGGAGGGTGAGTGATTTGGACATGACCAGAGGATGGACAGTGATTTGGACATATCCAGAAGAGGGAAGGTGATTTTGACATGTCCAGAGGAGGGAGAGTGGTTTGGACATGTCCAGAGGAGGAAGAGTGGTTTGGACATGTCCAGAGGAGGGAAAGTGGTTTGGACATGACCAGAGGATGGACACTGGTTTGGACATGTCCAGAGGAGGGACAGTGGTTTGGACATGTCCAGAGGAGGGACAGTGGTTTGGACATGTCCAGAGTCCAAAGGAGGGAGCATGGTTTGGACATGTCCAGAGGAGGGAAAGTGGTTTGGACATGACCAGACGATGGACACTGGTTTGGACATGTCCAGAGGAGGGAGAGTGGTTTGGACATGTCCATAGGAGGGAGCGTGGTTTGTACATGTCCAGAAGAGGGAAAATGGTTTGGACATGTCCAGAGGAGGGACAGTGGTTTGGACATGTCCAGAGGAGGGACAGTGGTTTGGACATGTCCAGAGGAGGGACAGTGGTTTGGACATAACCAGAGGATGGACAGTGGTTTGGACATAACCAGAGGATGGACAGTGGTTTGGACATGTCCAGAGGAGGGAGAGTGGTTTGGACATGTCCAGAGCATGGACAGTGATTTGGACATGTCCAGAGCATGGACAGTGGGTATATTGGTAGAATAATGTTAGAAATGCAGCTGCCAGGAAAGAGGAGATATATGGATGCAGTTAGAGGGGACATGGAGGTAGTTTGAGTGAGGACAGAAGATGCCGAGAGATTAAGATAAAGAAAATTGATGATTGATCCAACATCAGTAACTGAGATGACATCATTTACTTTAACTTAACATGAACAACTATGATTAATAACGTGTTGCTAAAACAACCTCACTGCTAATCGAACTCTCTGCTGCTGTAGATGATTTATTTTTCACTTTTGGTGCTTTGTTTTTGTATTTCTGCTGCATGCTTTGGTATTTCTGCTTGTTTTATGGCAAGTCGAGATGGTTCTTCTCGTCCTCAGCATTTCATTGCATTTTTGACCTTGTGTTAATTCTGCATATGACAAATAAACCAAACCTAACAAGGAAGATAGCTTCTAATCTGTACAGATTAAAGTTTAAAATGGAAAAAGAAAAACTTGAATTGTGTGGATTAAACTCAGTTTAAACAGCAAATCTGAGATTTTTAAAACAAATGCATCCTTGGGATTGAGTTTTTTATTATAGTTTTAAGTTTAACACTAATAAATTCTAAGGTTATGGTTTGTTTTTTTCTTCTTTGTCCAGTAGAAAGAATCTAACTTTGCATCGGTCCATGTAAACACCTTAAATTAATCTCAGTGTAACTAAACAGAAGAATTTAACATGAAGCCAGAATATTTGGTGCAAAATGTACCAAGGTTGAGTCAGGTCCTCTGGATGGGATCCAATGGATCAACACTGTTATTGCATCACTCAGGCTTCTGTGAATAGCAAGCGGCCATCAGGGCACTAATGGTCAGTTGTTAGGCTCATGGTCCTCCAGCTAGTTCTGCATGTCATCAGCAAATTGGTTGATCCGCTATGAGAAGGTGCTGCTTATAAGACCAAGCAGAGACAAAGAAGAACCCGTCCAGAGAACCTGACTCAACCTTAGATTCATCCACCTGGATTACTGAGCAGCATCTGGACATCTGGTGCAAATGTTTGACGTCATTTTGATGTTTTTAGTTAAAACGTTTGACTGACGTTAAGCAAGAAAACAGCCGTCGAGTGCTTCAACACCAAACAGCGAGCGCGCGGCTGTCTGGACGAGAAATTAGGAGTAATCGGATTACACTGATCTCTAATCAGAGCCTCCATTGACTGCCTCAGGAGTAGCAGATAAGAAACAACCCTCACTAAACATGGAAGCCTAAATCTGAGTAAAACTGTCTGACGAGCGTATAAACCAGTTTGGTGCACTGATTTTTTAAAACGCAAATCAAAAAGACAGCAGAAGGATTGAGTCCTGCACAAATACTTTCAGGCTGCACTCCAACAACCAATCAGAAGCCAGCGAGAGAGCAGCAGCACGCCTCTGTTGGTACAACCACTCTCAGTCTAGGTCTGTTTAAACAAGGTAAACAGTAATTAGGAGCAGGCGATGACAAAGAGATGGACTTAAGAGAAGAATCAAACTAAAAACCAGATCAGAAGAGAGCCTTAAGGAAGGACTAAAAGGAATTATCTTCACGCTCCAGTAGGAAATCAAAACAGGAGCTGAACCGGCGACGTTTAGAGTCTGAAGGTTCCTCGTGCCCCAAGGCTCGGTCTAGTTGCATTTTTCAGGGAGTTAAAATGCTCATAAATGAGTAAAATGACAGAAAAGCACTAACTAAAGTTTTTAAATCAGCTTCTTAAGCAAACTCCGACTAGAGCTGTCATTTCTAACTCGAACGCAAAACCTGGCCCGGATCAACCCGGATTAGGCCTGGTCCGGTCTCGTGCTTTGATGCGGTTTTATGAATCATACAGCACAAATAAAACTAAAAAAGAATGCACAATGTAACACTGTGTTAATCTGATTAGAGGAGGAGCCTCCTCTAAGCTTCCTCCTTTATATGTTGAGAGGATGAAGAAAAAAAGAGTGCAGCAGTTAATCAGACTGTGGAAGAGATCGCTGGCGTATTGCGCAATAATTGCGCACGTGGGCTCGGGCTTCTATGATGCGGTATTACCAATTAGCACAAAGAAAACTAAATAAGAATGCACAATATAAAATTGTGTTCATCTTCTTGTTGAGGAGGAGGCAGGTCTGACCGGCCGGTTTAAAAAAGTCACGTTAAGCTCAGATGGACAACTTGTCACCGGCCGCGTGCGTCCGCTGACTCACCGGTTGAAATGGACTTGCGACCTGTCCAGGGTGTACCCACCTTTCGCACAGTGATAGCTGAACATGGGCACCAGCGACCCCCGCTACCCGAAAAGAAAAAAGCAGATAAATATAATAGATGGATGGATCAGCTGATCACCGGCCGCGTGCGTCTCCGCACCTGCTGTCATCTGCGGTGAAGGAAGTAGCAGCATCTGAAGCTACAAAAGCCGAAGCGAGCGGCGCGTTCAATTAAAATAGGTTGTTCTACATTTTTCCAAATGATTTTGCTCTAAAAATATTTTTGTTCATCTGTATAACAGTCTATCTTTAGAGTTTAAATTTTTAGGCTATTCGTTTTGTTAATATCCATTTGGTGAAACAAGAAATCTTATATCTTCTTTTCTTTGGAATACGTTTTTAAAATATGATGTCAAACTGCTTGGGTGTGTTCGGGCCTCTAATTACAGGTAATTTGATTGGATCGGGTTGGGTTCGGAAAAAATGGCTACGGGCGGGGGCTGGGTCAGGTTGGATTGTTTAGGCACAAATGCAACTCTGACCCATCCTTTATGAATTGAAATTAAACTGGTTACCTCAGAATTATTTGTTATACCTTTGAAAGTGATGCTCATAATTTTTTACGATGTAGATATATTAAATAATTTATTTATTTTACTAATATTATGTACATAAAAAGTCCTCAGGTAAGAAAGTACTAGCTGAGGTACTTGAACTTCACACTTTAGTCATTTCCTTTACTTCGTCTTGGCATCGCCCGCTACCAAAGCTGAAGCAATACTGTTTTGGCCATTGTGTGTGTGTTCATTTGTCTGTACTGTTAGCAAAATATCTCACAAATCACTGATTTTACAGGTCCACATCCACAGCAAACTCGTTTTTTGAGTCAAGCAATTTAAGATGTCTGCCACCGCCGTGCGACTAAACACAGAAGTGTTGATTACTCAGTCAGCTTCAATAAAACGGAGCTAAAACTTGGGGTGGTAGTAGCCGAGAGTCATTCCAGCTGTTGTTTCTCCACACCAGATGATCTTGGCACGAAAGACTATGTGCTTTCAAGGAAAGCTGGGCCTTTAAAAAAAAAAAAAAAAAAAAGGCGTTTGTATTTTTTTTTAGACCGCACGTGTAAAAGTCTCCAGCTGCCAGGCGACTAACAGAAAACAGAAAGTTGACCTTCTCCTCAACAGACATGCAGGAGGTGGAACGAAGAATTTGACGGAGTGTTGACAAACATTAAGGAGATGGTCTCCAGCAGCCTCCCAGAGGACGCCACTCTCTGCTTCGTGCTCCGGTCCGGGTTGGATCCATGTGAATTCGTCGGTTTGGTGCTGAAGTTGACAGTGAGGCTGGAGTTCAGACGGTACAAAGTGATACTTAAAGTTCCTTTTTATTTTGAAGAATGAAGATGTTGCAGCTGAGAAAAGGAGAAAAACGATCACGCTCTCCAGAACCGGGTTGTTGACTTCCTTCGTGGATGTTTGGTCTAACACCACGTCGTGCTGCTTTCTGCCGCTTCTCTTGGAGGATTTCAGCAGACAGGAAGTGGAGCAGCGTGACCTTGTCAGCGAACACGCAGACAACCGAGGGCGGTGTGTGTGTTTAAACCCACGGCCACCTGACAAAAGGCTGGTTAGAACAGGAAGCAGAGGGCTGCTGCCACCTCTGATGGTTAGATCATAGTAAATCTGTTTCTCTGACGTGAATCAGAACAACGTTCCAGCAGAAGGCAGCGTGCTCTCTGAGGTCACTTCCTGTCTGTCTCCACCAGTTGAAAACCTTCATGGTGAACCTGCAGCAGAAGCTCTTTCAGCTTATTCTGTGACGCTAACTGGTGTCGCGTTCCTCGGTTCTCAACGTTAACATTTCCTGTAGCCGAGGCGAAGGCCCGAAGCGCCTGCCGCTCCCAGGAGGGGCCCCCAAAGAAAAACTGCATCCAATTTTAACATCATTTCATGCAGATTTGTAAATGAGTCCCCGAGGCTCATTGGGATTAAACTGTACAAATAAAGGTTGAATGAATGATTTTAGAGGAAGTGCTGTTTTTATGTAAAAAAAACAAATGCTTTAAAACGGAGGGACGGTGAATAAGAGTGAAATCTGCGCGTTTCGCAGAAGTAGAAGACATTCTGCCGTAGCTTTAGGAAAAATGAAACTCATCCTAAAGATTTGTGTAAGAATTAAATATTGTTTTTGTTGTTCTAGCAAAGTTTTTCCAACTTTATCGTCGTTGTTGTCATCGTGCACTGACTTTATGCAAAAATACACAACACATTTTCCTGTAAATATTCAAGAAGTTCACGGACCTTCAAACATAAAGGTTCATGGAAAAAGAGCTAATTACTTTATTGTAGTCCCTCGCTCTTTCGCGGTTTTCAGAGTAAGACTGGACACGAGGGAGAAAAATATTGTGCACGACACTTGATTGTCAACTTTAATATTACTCACATGATTGGGACAGTAATGGATAATGTAAAAAGTTTTAAGAAAAAAAAAAATACTTTGGACAAGCGCCGCCATTTTGTAGTTTTTTGTCAATAAGCCTATACTGTATTGCCACTCAAAAGAACTACATTTCCCAGAAGCCAACGGTGCTTCCAGCTGTTGCTTTCTGCTGAAATGGAGGAAAGTTTTGATCCGATCCGAAAAAGTTTGATCCTTATTCATTGTGACTTCGGTACTCAGTGCATGCAGAGAGCCATACGGAACAGACCGGGAATTGGACCAGAACCGGACTTCCAGCCTCAACGGTCAATCTGAGCGCTGCTTGGAGGTCGGGTGTTTTCTCCGGAGCTCACTGGGACTTTTTTAATCCAGATTTGGACTCGGTCAGGACCATTGTGTGGTTTTGTGCTGGCTCTCCGACGGTCCGGCTCTCTCTAAAAGCACTTCGATGCTCAAGGGCTGCAGAGAGTCGATCAGAACCGGACCAGAACCAGCAGGGTAGATCTGCTGAACTGGAAGCGAGCCAGATCAGACCGAACTGCTGTTCTGCAGAACTGGTGAGTAAAATTTTGCAGTACTGTACAGTACATCTACGTACGTTGTTAAAATGATACAGGTTTAAGAGATTAGAACATTGCAAGTGTGTGGGAAGGGTTTATAAAACCTTTACATATACATATATACTAAAATAAATATAGTTTTTCTACTTTGTGGATTTTCACTTATCGCAGGGGGAGACTGGAACGTAACCCCAGTGATAAACGAGGGACTACTGTACACTATGTGTAAGATGACGTTGGGTTTTTCTTATCTGTGAGCAGCAGCTGGTTCTGGTGATTTCTACAGTCTGTCAGTCTGTTTGTGTCCGTGTCGGTCACGTGTGTTTGTGCATGTGCGTGTGTTGTTTTGGTTTTTGCATCGGCTCTACTCAGCCCTCCCTACCCGGGTCGGCCCGGTTCAGAGTCCTAACAGTGGGTGGTCCAACCCACTTTCAGCTCAACTCGACCACACGGCATCTCTGGCTGCGGCAGCAGAGACCGCTGAGTGTTACGTTTCAGGCGTTTGTGCGTCTCGTGCGCAGCAGGGTACCTTGACCAATCTTGACGAAACCGATGATGATGATGAGCACCAGCGCCAGGAGCTTGGCGGCGGCGAAGAAGTCCTGCACCCTGGTGGCCGCCTTCACGCTGTAGCAGTTCACCACTGTGAGGAGCACTGCAGAGGAAGAGACGAGAGGAAACGTTACTTGAGCAGCATCCGGCCTCGTTTCAGAGGCTCCGCCTCCAAAGGCCGTTTAAACCCAAACCTGCAGGAACAAAGCTCATGCTCCCAGATATTAATGCCCTGAAGCCATTTAAAAAATTTTTATATATAGAACAATGTCTCACAGACGTTTCTTTGTTTTCTCTGGATGAACTAAAGTTTTTACAACTTCCTGTTTGAGAGAAACAACGTGAGCTTGAGACTTTTTTTTTTTTTTTTTTTTTACAACTGGAGCGTTTTTGTTGTTGCCACAACTATAATGACTTGTGGAGAAGGCAAAAATCAGGTGTTTTTGCCCACATCTGTGTGTGCCTGTCTGTTAGCAAAATATCTCAGGAACCACTGGACAGATTTTATTGAAACTGTCACTAATAATCTAGAAATGTCCTGATGCATGCTCAATAATCCAGGTAGAAAAATAAAAAAAAAGTTCAATCTGGTCCTCTGGACATTCAAAAAAACAAAAAAGTTCAATGTGCTTTGTTTAGTTTTTTTGAATTTCCAGAGGACCAGATTGAACTTTTTTGGAATCTAGAAATGATTAACTTTTGGAGCCAGCCCAAATCAAGATGGCTGCCTCAGCTAATTGACCTTACTAAACACAAAAATGGCTTTAATTCAGTTGGTTTTATAGAAACGGGGCTCAGATTTGGTGGGGCAGTAGCTGAGAGTCATCCCCAACACACACTCTGAGCATGAGATCAACGGTGACACGCTGGCATGAAAGGTGGCGGGCGATATGCATTCCTGCAAGGAATGCTGGGCTTAGATTTAGTGTTTTGTTTTTGCAAACAGACTCTTTTATTTGACAGGAAGTGGGTAAATAATCTATGTACTCTGCCTTTAATGTGTTAATTCACAGCACAGTGACAGCAGAAATAAAAAACTAATTCTTGGAAGAACAAAGAACAGTTTCTCTCTGTAACGTTCTCTGTACAGTTCTGGTACCAGCACACTCAATCCTGAAGAGGCCCAGAACTTCTGACCCAATTAAAAGTGATTAACTGAAGCAGCAGGTCCCTTCAAAGCCCCTAAATCAGGTCGGACCCACAACAGAGGACCGGGCAGCACAATGAGGCTCTGTGGTCCAGAGAGCGGGACAAACGCAAAGAGGTCAGGTACAGTAAAGGACCGGACTCAGTTCTGGCATCCAGACTCCCACACACACACGGCTGATGGGTGGGCGAAACTCAAAAACTGGCGTTAATCTCTAGAAATGGGTCAAATGGAAGAATAATCTGCACAAATTGGGCCTATATGGAGCCAGAAATGCAAAACAGAGTCTGGTTCTGACCGGACGGAGAAGCCAATTAATCCAGAGTAATCTCGTTAAGACGCCGGGACAAACCAGACCTCATGTTTGTGAGACCTGCTGGACGTTATTTGTGTCGGGCTGTTTGTGTCCACACGACGTTCAAATCCACTCCTTCACCTCGGAGAACAGATTAAAAATAAAGATTAGCAGCCGAACTCCTTCTGCTCCAACTTTTATCCATTTTTAGGAGGATTCACCTGAAATTAACCACAAAACTCAACTTTTCTTTTAAAGAAAGACGCAGAAGTTTGGATATTTCTGCTACAATGTTGATCTGGAGGTTAACGGGTGAATCGACTGATACGTGTCGTTTTTTCCAACCATCACACGTCAGCCATGTCTGTGCGACCAACAGGAAGTATGATGCAGCAGCGTCAGCCTCCTCACAGCCACAGCAGTGTTTTAAACAAAAATGATGTTTAATAAACACATTTTAAAGTGTTCAGTTTATTTTAAATGTTATTTGTTATAGTGGCAAAAAGTTAAATTAAAAAAGTGCTGTGGTAAGTCTGCCATTGGTTGACGAAAAACCAAACAAGTCAACTTTTATTTTGAAATTATATCAATTTAATATATACATTTACATTAGGTACTTTAAAAATTTTGTCCATGAAAAACATTTTAATAACAAATATTTAAAATTAGTGGTAAAACACAACGGGGGTTATTTTCAGATTTTCTTAATAAACTGAGTAAATTAAATAATAAATGAAATTGATGTCCGAGGTTGAACTGTATGATCAGAGCTGAAGGTAAAAGTGCAACATATTTACCCTTTTAATAAAATGATGACAAATCATCATATTTTTAAGCTATCGTTAGAGTAAGAGTTTAATAACACAGGTGCATCTAAAAAGATTACTGTGAAAAAGTTAAATTTATGTTGTCGATCATTTCATAAAGTGAAACTCACATATTATATAGATTCATTACAGAGTGAAATATTTGTAGTTTTGATGATTATGTCTTATTAATAACCAAAACTCAGTGTTGGTCCTTTGTCAGTGTGTCATGAGTCCTGCAGGAACATGAAATCAGCATCTCCATAAAGCTCGTCAGCAGAAGGAAGCGTGAAGTCTCTGAAATACAGATGTTGTGTGGACTGTCAGTGGACCAGCACCAGCAGAGGACATGGACCCAAACCATCACTGACTGGACAGGACAGTTCTTTGTGTCCTCAGTCCAGGTAAGACACTTCTGATGTCTCTGGACTTAAGAAATGAGCTCATGTCCAGGACTGATGTGACTCCAGGAGTTTATAATATTGAACATCTTCACAATATTTTCATTTCTGATGTACTGAATTTTGTTTTTTTTTCATTAATCAAAATAACAAAAAATAAAAATAAAGGCCTGAAATATTTTGCTCTGCATGAATTTATAAAATACCGACAGTAAATATTGAACATGATTTCTAATTTTCTGAGATGCACTTGTAGAACAGAACTTCCCCACTCAGGGACAAATAAAAATTATTCTGCTTTATTGTTTTAAAACATTTTAAACAGCTGTTCACTCGATTTTTTTGCTTCTACAAAATAACTGTCAGAGGTAATAATTATTAATTTAAGTACAATTTATTTACTAAGAATTCTAGTAAACAAAAACATAATCGCAATCCAAACAGTCTGTGCAGCCATAAAACTATTCGAGGTAATTTTATATATTTATTTGTAATAATTACAAATAAAAAAAAACGCCAATATTAATATTTTAAGGAGATTATTAGACCCTGGTTGATGTTTCATGACCCACAGAAGAGCCCCAGAACCACTGGTCTTAAATCTACTAATTTATAGTCTATTTTATACTTATTATAATTTTTTATGAGTTCCAGACTATTTTTCTGTGACATAATAAATAAAAAACAAACAACAATAAATTGGACGGTGCTGATCAAATGTTAAAGTTTAAAACTTAAAATAAAAAAGTAATAAATCAACACTGGGCTCGAGCTGATGTAATCGCGCGGCACCTTTCAACATCCTCCTGCGCGCGCCAGAACAATTTGTACTCGTGCGCGCGAGCGTGAATCCGTACGGTAAGTACGCACGTGGTCCAATGTGAAGCTGAGGCGCAGGTGAGGCGCTTCGGCTACACCGACACGAGGCTTGAGCACCTGCCGGCTCGGTTCGGATACTCACGGACGCAGAGGCAGGCCAGCAGCTTGGCTCCGGTCTCCGGTACCGGGCACACCGGGAACAGCGGCTTCAGGAGGTAGGTGGCGAACACGTAGGCGACGATGTACTGCGAGGACGGGCGGATGATGAGCAGCTCGATCCACAGCTTGAGGAAGGCGGGCAGCGAGCCGTACACCTCCAGGATGTAGGCGTAGTCCCCCCCGGACTTGGTGATGGTGGTCCCCAGCTCCGCGTAGCACAGGGCCCCCACCGTGGAGAAGACCCCGCACACCGCCCACACGATCAGGGACAGACCCACCGAGCCCGCCTCCTTCACCACTCCGGTCGGCGTGACGAAGATGCCGGAGCCGATGATGGTGCCCACGATGATGGCCACGCCGTTCACCAGAGTGATGGTCCTCTTCAGGGCGACCCCTTCGCCGCCCGCCGCGGGGAGCAGGGCGGTGGGGCTCTTGGCTTCGCTGCCCGGCGTCCCGGCCGGGCTGGAGCCCGCGGACAGCATCCTCTCCGTCACCTGCCCGTCGTCCTCCCTGCCCGCCGAGGAGCCGGAGTTTCTCTTCTTCACGCCCGACATCTCGGAGCCTCTTCCTCCTTCTTCCGGTGGAGGCGAAGCTGTTCCGCGTTTGAGTCCGCCTCGGTGCCCGGAAAGAGGTCCGATGCTGCGGCTGCGTTCAGCCACGATCCGCGGTGAGTCTGAAGGCGCGAGTCAGAGCGGCGGCGGCTTTCAACGTCAACTTGTCGGATTAAAAAAAAAAAAAAAAAAAGAGGGGGGCTTAATGGGCGTCCTCCGTCAGAGGACGGCCCCATTTTAATTCGGCCAATCGAATAAAATAAAATAAGAAAACAGCGCATCGTCCTTTTCTGCCCCCTGCCGGCGGAATGAGGTACTGCACCGCTGATCAGCATCCCTGCTGGACCACAGCAGCTCAGACATGCAGGAGAATCTGGGGAAAGCTTTACCCTTCTGAAAAAAGGTGTGTAAGCTCAATCATCCAGGTAGATAACAACAAAAAAGGTTAAATCATGTCATCTGGACCAGTTCCTTTAAGTGAAAACCCATCTGCTTTTACTGAAACGTAGAAATATGCTGCTGATCCCTTCTTCTTTCGGCTTTTCCTCTTCATGGGTCGCCACAGCGAGTCGTCCTCCTCCGTCTCACCTTGAACCTTGACATTTAAAAATATGTGTTTTCTTTCTAACAAATGAACATTTTAAATTGTTAGGAAAATATATAAGTATTTTTTTTTTAAGTTATAGTATATGAATAATAAACAAATCCCAAGCAGCTCTGGCTAAATGTGACAGAACCACAGCCTGTTTTACAGATGACTGTGGAGAAACACTGTTGCTCCTCCCAAGCTGTTTTGTACAGACTGTATATAAAAAAACATTCACTTCTCAAAAGTCTTATTTTTTGACAGGTTTTTAAAATAATTTGTAAATAAATTGAAAAATCTTAACTGTTTCTCTCCCTCCTGCTGCCTTTGGGTCAAAATGACTCGAGGCCTCAGTTTTGAGGTCTCGTGGATCATTTTAATTATCCTTTTAACTGCCATTTTATTTTCACTTGTTAAAAAATAAATTTGTATGCATCATTTATGATTGTCTATTGTTGCCCACTGTTGTCATCACTCTGTTAAATTCAGGTCTCTCTTGTAAATGAGTCCCCAAGGCTCAGTTGGGATTAATAAATAAAGGTTGAATGAATTTTGACTTAAGGTCAGTAGGAGGGTTAAGAATGACCTCTGTACAGCGACCTGAATCGATTCTATGGAAGCGGACAGAGGACATAGAAGTACATTATGGAATTATTTTGAGATAATGGAGTTCATTTTGTCATAGTACCAATTATTATCAAAGTAATAAGTTAGATTTTTTTTCAACCTGTAAGGTTTTCTTATGATTTTTTACATTTTTCATCAGAGGTCCTGAAATTCGTGCTGACTGAAGCTGAAAGCTGTCATTCATCATCTTGTTACTCTTACAGATCACCTCCAACACGTCCAAACCAAGTGAAACACAAGAAATACTCGAGTTTCTTCCTCTAATCATCTCATTATCTGAAGAAAACAAAGTGTCTTTAATCAGAAAACAGGCTTTGTTTTAGCGAGACAGGAAGATAAAACTAAATCCATCATTTCCAGATAAGACAAAAATCATCTTGTGATCCTGAGAAAAAAAATCATTAAAAGTCACGACAGCAGCTCCGACCACTTCCTCTTTTTATTTCTGATCAGGATTCAATAAACGATCAACTGAAGGATGTTTCTCCTCTCGGGCCTTCTGTTTTTAAGAGTTTGTAAGAACGCAGCGCTACAACGTCAACATTTTAAACTAACAGCTGTTTGTTTGACTGTCACTGGAAAATATGAAATAAATCCACTTTATTCCTGTAATCGTGTTGTTGTTGCCTTTATTTTTGTACATTAAAGTTTTAAAAAAAGGTAAAATTGTGTTTTATGTCAAGCTGTCTGTAAAAAAGTGGTGAAATTAACAATAATGTGAATACAGAGTCAGCATTTCCACATTTATTTTTATATATTTGCGGTTTATTTCTACACACGTTCTGCTATTTTAGCTGTTCATGTACCAAAGTAATCGGCTCATTCAGGAGATGGATGATGTGACTTTCACTTACTGTAACTTTTATACTTTTCAAAATATTTAGCTTTATATACGATTTTAATGGAAATTAGTGGCGATCTCTATTATTTCTAAAACATTTTTCTCTTAAATTTGTTTCTGAGTCCTGGCTCTACTTCTGGTTTCTTATGCTACATTTGTTTTTACCTAGCCTTTTGCTACTTTTAACTTCTAGCTAGCTTATGGCTACTTTGAGCTCTTACCCAGCCTTTTGCTACTTTTAACTTCTAGCTAGCTTATGGTTACTTTGAGCTCTTACCTAGCCCTTTCCTACTTTTAACTTCTAGCTAGCTTATGGTTACTTTGAGCTCTTACCCAGCCTTTTGCTACTTTTAGCTTTTACCTAGCCTTTT